AATAATTTATTTATCTTATTTTATTTTTATAAACAGAGGAATAAATTAAAATAACTTTATTTAAAAAAAATATCATAATATTATTTTGATAGTGTAATTTTTTAGTCATCTTTAAGGTACTCAGAACTTTTAAATTTTTGATTTTGTTAAAGTAATTTTTTATTTACATTTTATTATGTAGTAATTCGAATAATTCAAAGTAGGATGAATAAATTTAATTCAAATATACATAAAAATTAAATTGGAGTTTTTAAAAATTAAAATATTTTTATATTTAGATTAAATAATGAATAGAATTTTTATTTAATAAATATTTTGAAAGGATGATATTATTTTTTCGTTCAACTATATATATATATATATATTTTTATCAACTATTAAATTCAAACTAAACTATTTTCAATTAAGTTAAAAAGTTAAATCATGTAAATATTATAAAATTTTTGACCCTAAATTCTTACTTTATCACCTCAAAATAATTTTAATATAATTTAAAAAACAATCCTATACTCACTTTCATATATCTATGTATATATATATATATATATTCATATATAGGCGGCACTTTGTGATTGGTGATTCTCGAATATGATGGTTGACTTGCCTTCTAATCATTGAAGAAGCAAACAAAAAGATTATTTCATCACAGCATTTCTTGTGCTATTCTCCATATTCCGATCATATTCTTAATTTTTTCTCTAAGTGATTTGATTTTGTGAGTAATATTTTAGGGAAAAAAAAAATTGTAGAATATTGTCTTTTATGTATGTGTATATATATATATATATAAGTGGCATTCAAGATTATATATATATATATATATATGTATGTGTGTGTGTATATGTATACAAGTTTGAAAAGAGATTATTGATAATTGGAGGGATTGGGTGGCAAATAATCCAATAGAAAGAGAGGAATGGTGGGTGACTAATCCAATTTATAAATTATAATTATAATTATAATTATAATTAAAAACCCACTTGTATATAATTGTAAGGACAAGCATACATAATAATTGAAAGTGATAAGTGATCACCCAAAAAGATTATATTCTTTCAAAAGTGGGTATTGAGATCTTATTATTATTATTATTATTGTTATCCACTTAATTAGTATATAATTATAATATAATTAATGTATACGTACCCCCTCTGCCTTATCATTTGCCAGAATTGCAGCCATGTGAACAAGTACAAGAAGATCTTAAAACCCATATAATACAATTTTATTACCCATGCAAACAGCCGGTACATGGTTGCAAATACCAATTAATGGAGTATTATTATAATTCAAACTGTTAGATTAAATTAATCACTTCGGTTTTGGGTCAAATTTTTTGTGTATGGAACTAACATTTTTTTATTTGATAAATAAATATATTTTATAAAAAAAAAATATTTTTTTCTTATGAACTGAATTAAAAATAAAAAATAATTAATTAATTGAATTTCGCTAAGTGCGGTATTATACTTTATGGAATTTCCAGAAAAAAAATTAAAAATTTTAAAAGGGA